ATATGAATTGCTTTAATAAACAGGATAGAAATCCACACGTGATCGATGGGAAGAAGGACGTAGAATATTTTTAATTTTTCTTTATTTATTAATTTATAATTCATGCGGAAAAATTAATACTCTCTCTGTTAAAAAATGTAAAGTATTTTTAACCAAATATCACCCCTCAATAAAATAGTTACTTTTAAATTAACCCTATCTTTTTATATTTATCCCTATTAAACACCGTACAATAAATATAAAGTCAATCATTAATAGGGATACTTTTGAAAAAAAAGACAATGATTACATCTCCAAAGATTAAAAATATCTTACATTTTTTAACATCTAACTTCTTAAAAAATATTTTATATTTTTGAATGGAAAAAGTATGTATGTACCTAAACCAAAGCCACATCATTGCCACCATTTCACCATTGACTAACACTGTTTAGCTCACAGATTAACAGATTTTCTGCATAAGGATCAATAGTTATAATTAAAGAAACTATAAGGATCCAATAAAAAAGAAAAAACTACAAGAACCTGATTAAAATTTATAAGGAAAATGCTCTTCAGATGGCTTCAGTCCTGGATGTCAATTCGGCCATGTTCGTAGATATCCTGACGATTTGGATAGCATCGATCATATGTGAATGGTCTACAATTTTTAAAAATAGAAATATTATTTGAATAATAATATTTAAATCATTCAGCTAGATATTTTCCCCAGGATCAACATATATATGCAATTTTTTGTTTATGAAAACATGAAATCAATATTTTATGATGAAAAAGAATAAGCAAAAATATGTATACAAAGTATTTAAAAAATAAGCACTATAAAAAACATCAGATTAGCAACGGAATAAATTTTTCACTAATCCATCACTAATCCATCTCAAATTCCATCGCTAATTTACCAATAGAATGTTTTGTCACTAAAATTTTATCATTATTCTATCACTAATCCATCAAAAATAATTTACCGACGGAATTTATCGACAAAAAATTTCATTGCTAATGGTTAGGATATTTTATTTTAATTTAATAACAGAATTTGCAATGGAAAATTCAGTCATAAAATTTTCTATCATAATTCCGTCACTAATTCCAATGTAAAGTATTTTTAATTTAATTTTATTATTTATAATATATATTTATATATAATTTATTTAATAATTTATTATTATGCTATAAATAAATAATTTAAAAATTATAATTTAAAATAATTTATTATTTTAAATTATTTGTATATTATTAATAATAATTTAAATTCTATACTTAATTATTCTTATTAAAAAATAAAAATAAAATAAAATAATTAAAAAAATTTAGAATATTATATATTATATAGATACAAATTATAATATAACATATAATGATAATAAAATATTTTTCAATTTAATATTAAATTTATTATCAAAAATTTTTTTAAATAAAATATAATAGAAATAATTATTATATATAAAGTAATTTTTCCATATTAATAAATAAATATAATTTTAAAAAAATAATTAAATTTAAATACTATATTTAATAATAAATTTATTAATATTTGTGTGTGTGGTTAAGTATTATATATTTAATTTATCAATTAAAACTGAAAATTCCTTTCAGCTCAACTGGCAACAAGGTGGATGTAAAGGCACTAGGAAGTATAAGATTGCAAGTTTGAACCTAGCCAACGCACAATTAAAAATAATAATATTTGACATGATAATGAGGTGGCACTGGTCTATTAGGTGACTAGGACGTGGCGGTGACATGCCAGTGAGGTGACACTAGTCCACTAAGTGATTAGGTGGTGGTGAGGTGGCATTAGTCCACTGGGTGATATGGCAATAATATTTTTGTCTATCTAATAAATTAGCGACAGAATAAATCCATTAAAAAAATTAGCGATGAAATGCATTCCGTTACAAAGTCAAAATAGCTTATCCTTATTTAGTGATGGAAAATTTCCATCACTATTCTATCACTAATTAGCGACGGAATATAATTCCATCACTAATTAGTGACAGAATTGTAAATTCTGTCGCTAACGATTAGGGACGGTGTTTTTATCGAAGAAAATTTCACTGATTAGCAAAGTAAAATTTTGTCACTAATTAGCTTTTTTTTAATAGAGAAAAGAGTTTACTAGTATATCATAAAATAATATTTATTAATTATTAATTATTCTTTTCATTTTGAATGTTGGTTAAAATTCATCTCTACATGCATAAAAAAAAATCTAAAAGAAACCCCCTAAATTATAAATAATGTGAGTAATTTTTTGAATTTATTGGGAATCACATAATTTTAACATAAATTTTTCACTACAATTTCTTCCGTGCTACTTCCTTCATTCAAAAATATAAATTATTTTTAACCAAGTTTAATCTCACAATAAAATAGTTATTTGTCTTCAAACTAACCATATATTTTCATATTTACTCCTATTTAATAAGATATTTCATCTTAAAATAAATATAAAATAATTTATTCAATAAGAATATTTTTTTTAAGAAAGATAATAATTACATATTGAAAGATTAAAACTACCTTATATTTTTAAAAAAAATTAGCTCAATGGCCTCAAAAAATACAACTTCTATAAATTATGGATGAAGTTTTTAAATATTTTGGAATATGGCCCATTCATAAAATCAATTAGATGTGTTTTCCTTTTTCATCCTCAGAATATATTTATTATTAAAACAAAATATATTTAATTTAACTAATTTTTAGTTGATTGGATCTTTCATTTTTATTATCAAAAATTGTATTGTGCGTGCTCCCTCTCTGATTTATCATCTTTGAATATTTTCTTCATCAAATTTTTGGATCTGATTTTCTTGGATCATCATATTTATCTCTCGTATAGGCTCTTCTTCATCAAAATTTTTGATCTAATTTTCTTGGATCACCATCTTCATCGCAAAACTTTTCCTCTCTCTCCCTCTCTATTTTTCCTAGATATTAAGAAGAGAACATTAAACATTAAAAAAACTCCATTATTGATCTGCGATACTATATCTGTATATCAATGATAAACAAATTGATAAGTTTTCGTTGATATGGCTTAATATTAGTGATATATAATAATATATCACTGATATACTATCATAGATCAACATAATCAGATAATTAGACATAAACTTATTTAGAATTGATATACAATCATATATCAATGATATAATATCGCAGATCAGTAACACAAAAAATACAATCATTTTTCCAAAATAGATGAAACAAAATCTCAGGAAACCCTTGCTTGAACTCTGGCTCTTATAACAGAGTCTGACCGAACTTCCTCACTCTGAATTTGCAGCTTTAGTGTGGCTTTGTGTAGAAGCTACAATTTCAAACTTCCTCACCTTGCATTCATGATTTTTCAACTTGAATCTATAGCTTCCAGTTTGCCTTGCCTCACGTTCTTGTGGTCTCCTTGCTGAATTTCTAACTCTGGTTATCCATCGGTGTAAGTTATTTCATTGTCTACTGTTAGTTTATTCGCTGTCGTGACCGAGAGTGCAGTGTCGTCTCCATGTCTTCAGGTCAGTGAAAGTGAAATCAATGTGAAAAAAGAGAATTAAAGTATTGTGATGTTTAAGGGCAGTTTTGCCTTTTGTATCAAAGGTAAATTAGAAAACAGCTATTATCTTAATTTAAGAAAAGGTGGGTTATTAGTTTTATTTAGCCATATATTGTTGACTAAATTTGCTAAAGCCCCTATATTTTTTAACATGAATCTATCAAAAAATGTCTTATAATTTTTAAAAGGAGGAGTACTTGTGATAGGTTTCGGCCGCAACGTGAGAGGATGAGGACCGGTGAATTGTATTGTGGGCCACCCTTTGGGCCACACCTAGCATTGGGCAAACAAGTTATGGGCAGGTTGGCATTTTTGTGTGTTGAGTCGAGCCAGCCCGCCAAATAAAACGGGCTGAAAAATCTAACCCAACCCATTTTCTAGCGGGCTAGCCAACTTGTGGGCTGGCTCGTAAAAAATTATCAAAATTTTTATAATAATTTAAAATTTATATAATATAAATATATATATATATATTTTTATTTATTTATTTCATATTTTAAAGCAAATTAGCAATTTAAAAACTTGTAAATAAATAAAATAAACATAGAATTCAACCAAGCAAATTCATTTTGTTAGATTTTTACTATCAATTATCTTCTCGCTTAGGTGTGCTATCTTTGTCACTGAGAAAGAAAATTTAAATATAAACTCATATTATTTTTCTCAATGAATTCATATTTATAATTTCAATCAATAGATCTTATAAGATTAATAAATAATATATATTTAAAATATTTCTATAAAAACTAATAAATCATCTTCACAAACTATAACAAAAATTTTATTTGAAAATTGTAAAAAGGATTTACACTATATTTCAAATGTAAAGAATATATTTGAGAGTCATAAATTATATATTTAAGAAATATTATCATTATTGTAGATTTATAAAAAGATATAATGTAATTAAAAAATAAAAATTTATTTTTTTAATACACTAGCCCGCGGGCTAGCCCGTTTAGCTCGCTAATTTTGCGGGTTGGGCTAACCCAACCTATTTTAAAAAATGGATCAATTTCTTCAACCTAACCCGTCAAATTGTACGGGTTAAACGAGCTAGCCCGCTGGCTCAACCCATTTTCTCGGCTCTAACCACACCTATACAAAATTCCATGGTGTGATTCCAAAGTTTGTGGACCATCTCACATTGTAATAACCCAAAAATAATAATAATAATAAAATAAAATAATTAAGTGTATAAGTTAGTGTTTTAATAGTAATTATAAGAGTTTTTGGAATTATTATGACCAGAGGAAAGTTGTTGTAATGGTAGCTAAACAAGTATTCTTCCAACAGGTCTAAAGTTTGAATCTGGCTGAGGCAAAATGAGATTTTATTTTTTTTTAAAATTACCAAATTACCCTTCTTCAAATCTGATAAAAATCTTCCCCTTCTTTGATTTTTCTGGAGACCGATAGAGAGAGGGAGAGAGAGTCAGAGATCAGCTGTATCGAGGGTCACCGTTGCCAACCTCCTTCGTCGTCTTCAATGTTGGTGGTGTGTGCTAGTGGCAACCGAGAGGGAGAGAGGAGAGCTTCAATCATCTAGACCTTCATTTTTTGTTCTCCTCCCTTTTGTTGCTGACGAGAGTAAGTGGGTAAGCAATCTTCTGGCCAGCGTCGTCAGAGGTCACCGGATTCCTCTTCTCTCTCTGTTTTGCATTAAAATAATAATAATAATATTCCTCTTTTTTTCGGTCTTGCTGTGGGTGTCAGTGTTGCTGGATTCTGGGCTCTTCATCCGTATGTCATCTGTGTGTGTGAAGCGGAAGACCTTTTGCTAGCAGAGGTTACCGGATTCTTCCATGTCTTTCTGTGTTCGTGCTGTTTTGTGCTGTCTCTGTTTTGCTTCTTCCTTCTTTTTCCTGTTTGCGTGAGGGGTAAGCTCAAAGAAATCTTCATTTTCTGTTGTGTTTTATAGCACGTTTGATTACTCAACCATGATCTATTGTGATGAATGAAGGATTTGGGTATTGATCTTAGTGGATTTAAATTTATGAAGTTGTTTGGAAGCTGTAAGCGGTTTGAAATTTTTAGAGTAGGAAGCTTGATGATATGCTTTGAATTTTTAATGCACTCCAGATATTTGATAAAATATTTAAAAGAGTTGGAGTGGAGTTATTAACCATATTCAGTGCACTACGGACTAATATTATGGATCTAAATTTAGTTTGGATAAAGATATGAACTTTGGAAGCATAGAAAATTTAATTAAGTGTTTAATGAAATGTGATGAATAAATGTTGGTTTATGGTAACAACTAAGTGTGATGAATGGGTTGCCTGGATAAGGGGGTAAAGAAAATTGATGTGCTCTCATTGTTTTTACTTGATGCGTAAATGGGAGAGCAAATTGGACTCAGGCAAAATGAAATTCAAGATTAAAGAGGATAATTTTTGATAAATAACTCCATTATTGTGTTGGCTATTGCTTGAGGAAGATGGTTATGGGTTTGGATTTTATGATTTTAAATTAATTCTTGATGAGAAAATATGATAAATTTAAATGTTGATATTGAAAATTATTGGGCAAGGGTTAGGAATCTCAATTGATTAAATTAGGAATTGATGCACAATAGGTGTTTGTTGAAAGGTCTAAGAGAGGATCATACCTCAGTCAAATGTTTTACTATGGCTAAAGTAATTTAGAGGAATTTTGCAATATAAATGATGGTGTTTGGGGAAACTTGAATTTTATATATTGATTATGAATCCATATGTAACTAGTTAAATTCCTGGGATAGTATGGTTGTTGATGAATTGTTGGATAAAGGTTTGAAGATTAGAAAGTCTAAGAAGAAACCTCTATATATAAATTTTGTTACTAAAACTTAAAGTTTTATTACTAATTCTGGTTGAGTAAATTCTCTTAAAGAGAGACTTGTTGGTTCAAAAGTAAAGTTCATTAAGATCCTATTATTTATTATAGGGTGATTGTGAGAAGGGTAGCTTGATTGGAGTCGTAATAAGTGAGTTTCGAACTTTAAAAGCACTACAAGTAAGTGGATAACGTCCTAACTGATTTGTTTTTTCAATCAAAATTTTTTTACTAAAATATTATGTTTTTCTGAAAATCTTTTTAATAGCATTAATGCAATTATTGGATATTTGTTTATTAACGTTACTTTATTTTGAGAAATTAGCTTTATCAAATTTAAAATTTTATTTGATCAATTAAATCAAGTTTGGACTTTGATTATGAGATTTTTATTTTATCAAATATTGAATTGATACAAAGAATAATTCATGAGAGTTCAACTTTGAATTTTTTTTATTATTCGATAAATACAAGTATGAGCATTAGATATGAAATTTTATTCTGGCAAGTTTTAATGCTTAAAAGTATTCATGCGAGTTTGATTTTGAGAATGAGAATTGTATCTTGAAAGTGATGATTTTCTTGCATGTTTGAAAATGATTTTAAAAAAGGGACTTTATATGAAACACTGGTTGTTAACGGCAGTTCCGTTAGCCCTTGACGCACCATGGTACACCTAACTAGCAGGGTGTTTGTAGGAGATGCTAGCCCCGTGCGATGGCCAACGCATGTGGAACAGAGGGATGGTTATTCGTGAGCATCGTACTCATGTTTGTTTCGTAGCTTCAGCTGCATTTGGTTACTGATCCTCGTGGACTATGTGTCTACGTTTGTCTTCATGGCATAAGCCGTGTTGGGTTATTTACCCTCGTGGACTGTGTATCCATGTTTGTTAATGGTTCTGATAAGTCTCTATAATTATGAATCTAATTATTTGGTGATCTTATATCCCATTGGTTTTTATTTAGTAATTTATTTACAAGTATTTATTTCATTTATGTGACTTTTTAAAATCAAGTGATATTAACATTTTCTATTATAGTTCAATGGTTTAAGATTTTATTCAAAATTTTATAGAGCCATTTTATTTTGAAGTTTATACATTTTTTATGAAAATTGTTATCTCTTTAACTTACAGGATTATTTCAAACTTTTATTTTTATTCATGTTAAATTATTTATTGTTGGGACGTTATTCACTGAAAAATTATTTTGATCTCAGATAGTATAATTGACGATGCATGTCTTGCTTACCAATGATGGATGTTTGCGAAACAGAATGGAGGTTTATTCTGTAAATATGTCTTATAGATGTAAATATGAAATTCATGTACTATGATATGAGATATATGATTAGGTGCTCCACATAACTTATAATTAGAGTTCTTAATTTATTATACATTTTGTCTGCTAGCTGGAAGGAGTTGCATTATTGATTAATATAATGTTTAATGAAATTTTTTGTGATACAAAATTTTTTTGGGAGATCTTATTTATAGAGGAAGTTCTTTCAAAATTTTTACAAAATGTTGAAACAATTATTATAATAATTAGTATCAATAGTATTAAAATGTCAGTGTAAAATTAAATACATTTTAATTAAATGAAACAAACTTTGAATTTGTGGCTCACGGGATGTATGAACAGTTCACATCCTATGCCGGTCACCCCTATTTTTAGGGCGTGACACACATAGTATTATTAATAAAAGTTGATTGAGACCCAAAAGGAAAAAAAAATTGCAATATTACTTCAAAGGTTAAAGTTTATTTTTACACTCAGAATTATATTTTAAGAGTATTCAATAACTTAAAGATAATTACCTTTAAATTTTAAAAAATGTAGCAATTAACCCTTTACATTTTGAAATTTTTATTATATTATAAAATTTATTTATTTAAAATTTTTAAGAGTATAAAATTTGACACTTATTTATTTATGTTTTTTAAAATTTCTAACAACATATTTCAAACACATGTTTTTGTTTATCATATAATATAAAATGATATAAGTTCAAGAAATTATATAAATAATTTAAATTTAGATTTAAAATTTGTAAACATGTCTTTTCAATGAAATAATGTAACTATTAAAATAATATTTATTCCGTTAAAAAATATAAGACATTTTTAACTAAATCTCACCCCTTAATAAAGTAGTTACCTACTTTTTAACTGACCCTATATTTTTATATTTACCTCTATTAAATAGCCTACAATAAATATAAAGTCATTATCAATATAGGTACTTTTTGAAAAAAAAAGGCAATGATTACATCTCAAAAGATTAAAAATGCCTTATATTTTTTAACATCCAACTCCTCAAAAAATACCTTATATTTTTGAATGGAGAAAGTATAATTAAGGATCATTAGGATGGGGTACATTAATAAATGAATTTGTTTTAATAAAAATTTTAATTTAAAAATAAGTTGTTAGAATCTTTTTAAAATATTCCTAAATGAGTTAACATATTGGATTAACTTGTATGTTTCAAAATAGAAGGGAGGTTTATATAATTAAGGCAAAATAAAAGGGTGGTGACAGTACCTTACTCTAACTATAACTCACAAGAACCAAGAAAAATTAGTTACGTCATTGAAATTGTTTAAAATTTAATTTGATTTTCATTTTCACGGGTAATAAATATCATAATTTTTAAAAATAAAATATTTTACGACATTGGGGAGAAAGGCATATATGTAATAAAGTAATTAAAGCTACATAAATTCTTGCATTACATGAGCGCAAATAAGTTCTATTAAACGTAGAGTGGGGCCAATAATGGGCTTTATATTTCATTATAATTTCCATTCTGATCGTGGAAAGACTTAAAATTGGACATCTTCAATCATTGTAAATTTTTAAAACTAGAGTTCACCAGTTACGCGATCAAAAACTCATCAACTAAAGGTTTTTCCTTCTTAATTCAACCCACGCAAATAACTTGTAAATACTCTTTCATATCACTTGTAATTAATTGTAAAAGTAAGAATTGAAATACATAAAGCTAATTACACCCAGAAAAAAACCACAAATGCTCCTGCAAAACTCCATACGAAATCATAAGTCAACTTTAGCAGAATGTGGGTGTATTTGTCTCCCTGCTGGTTCATCAAGAGATGAACAAATGTGCTGTAGAGGTGGGCCACAAAGAAAAGGATTCCCTTCATAAGAACTTCGATCAAAAGTTGCAAACTGGTTTTTCATGTCAGGCACCATACCAGATAGATTATTGTGAGCCACAAAAAAGGCAGACAAAGAGTACAACTGCGTAAGTTGAGAAGGAATATGACCCGTCAATTTGTTGTACGAAAGATCTAAACTTTCAATCTGTTCAAGGTTAGAAAACGTGTCTGGAATAGGCCCAGTCAAATAGTTGTTTGACAAATTTAATGTATGAATAGCATTCAGGTATCCAATTTGTGAAGGGATTTTACCTGTCAAATGGTTGTCCGAGAGGTCTAGGCCAGCCATGAAATCTAATATATTTCCTTCATATGATTCGTACCTGCTTTTTGACATGAAGTTCACCACTATTTCCTCGTACCATGAAAAATTCTTTTCATATTCACCTTGGAGAAGCTCACCACTTGTACCATTTATGACAAATAACGGGCTTCTTGTAGACCAGGGTACAACAAATTTTCCTATTTTGGCTCCTCCCATCACATCCTGCTTTATAAATGTGACGTTATTCAAGCAATGTGGTATCCCTCCGGAAAGCATGTTTTGTGACAGATCTAGTATGCTTATGTTCTTGAGCCTGCACACTTCCATAGGAATGGAACCATCAAGCTTGTTTCCTTTTAGGAGAAGGACTCTTAAATTCAACATCGACTTTAACCACCAGGGAATTTGACTTGAAAATCTGTTCTTTGCCACATCCAAAGTTAATAGCATGGGAGATTTGGCGAAAACAGAAGGAATGGGGCCAGTAAAATCATTTCCCTGCAAATGCAAGTACCTCAATGATGGCATATTCACACAGCTTGGAAAAGTGCCATTGAATCTGTTTTGCGAAAGGTCTAGGTATGAAAGTTCAACCAAATTGCAAAAGCTTTCTGGTACTGGACCTACCATAGAATTTTGAGACAAAATGAGGTAACTCAAATGCTTTAAGTTTCCAATCCAGCTAGGCATTTCACCATAGAGTTGGTTGGAACTTAAATCCAACATTCTTAATTCCGAACTCTTACTGATCCCATCTGGTAGTTTTCCTTTGAAGTTGTTGCTACTTAGATCCACAGACAACAAATGTGCAAAGTTTGAACCAACTGGTAAACATGGGCCAATTAAGTTGTTGTTTGACAGCTTTAGAGACCTCAAATCATTGCTGCCCTTCCCAAATTCTTGGGGTAAACAGCCAGACATATTGTTATTGGACAAGTCTAGTGAGTTCAGCTGTCCCATGTCACTGATTGAAGCTGGAAATTCACCCTGTAAGGAACTCGAAGACATGTTCAAAGAAAGCAAGTTGGGAAAAACAGAGCCAATATGAGGAGGGATTTTATCATTAATAGGGTTAGAGGAAGCATCAAAATATTGCATGTCAAGTAATTTTGAGGTGGAGTTGAGCTCAAAGGGACCAGTCAATAAGTTGTTGCTGACATTGAAAGAATCTAACTTGCTGTTGTTTGTCAAAAGCCAATGTGGGAAACTTGCTGGAAAGTTCAAAAAAGTAAGTTGCAGAAGTCTCAATTCATGTTGATGAAGAAGAAAAGAGGGTATTCTGTGATTGTTTACTTCATTCATATTGCACTTGACTACGCTGAAAATCTTTAATTGGAAAGAAGGGAAAAATGGGGGATTTTCAGTTTCGAGCTTGAGACTGGGATTACTAGAGCATGAAATTGAGAAGAGTTTAAGGTTGGAGTGGTTGGCCAGCAAAGAAAGCGATGCTATGCCAGTGAAATGGTTTTCTTCTAAAGAAATGATTCTGAGGGACTTTAGAGATTGAAAGAGCAAGGAAGGGAAGGGTCCTTCAAAACTATTGTATTGAAGATCAAGCACCCGAAGAGATGTCAAATGATTGAGGCATGAAGGAAGGTGACCCTCAAACTTGTTATGGCCAAGAGACAATAGTTTCAGATTCTTCAGATTGCATAAGCCTCCTGCAACATATAAATTTCCTTTATTAAATTCATTTAATTTGTCTATGAGTATCTAAATGATGGATTTCAAACAAATAAAAATAAATTTTAAGCGATAGGTTAAACTTTGTGATTAGCGTCTTTCTCAAGAATATAGTGGTGTCTGTGGGCTAAAACATTTTTCATGTAAGCTCAGCTTAACAAATGAATTTAGATTAAATATCTGAGCTAAACAAGATACTCGATTATAAGCCTGAAAATGAATATGATCTAGTCCGATGAACTTAAATGTGGGGAAAATTTACTTCCAAATTAGCGTAATAAATAGGTAGAGACTACATAGTGAACAGGGAGGAAGGAGAAGTTTTTAGTTTGATATTTGTATTTAAATCTAGAGAACAATCGACTTTAATCTATCTATGAAAAATGAAACATATGAGAAATAATTGTAGTTATTTTAAACACATTTCATAAGAAAATTTAGAGAGCAATGGAGTTTTATATATTAAAATAATTGTAGTTAGCTATTAGCCTATATATGAAAAATCAAACCCATAGTTAGTGTTAACGAAGCTGAACAATATTTTAATTTGGTTAATCCTTACTAATAACAATTGATTTGTATATTTGACCCAATTTTAGATTAAAACTTTGATTTGAAAAACATATGAGAGATTAGAAATTAAATACCTTGCCGTGGTAGTGAGCCTTTCAGGCTATTCTTTAAAAGGGACAAGGCCAACAAGGAGGAATTGAAAGAGAAAGCCGAAGTCTTCGAATTGCGGGAGGAAAGAGAAATATCTGTCAAGTATGAAATAGAAATATTTAAAATAAAAAATTAAACAAATGTTTATAAAATTATTATTAAATTGTTAAATTATAAAATATAAATAATAAAATTCAAACTGTTATAAATCTAATATGAACGATTAAAAATACAATAAGAACAAAATAAAATAAAATAAAATATTTTATAAGATATCAAATTTGAACCATCCAAATTTTGATCTAATGGTTTTAGTAAGAAAAAGAAAAGTGGATGGAGAGAGACGAGGAGAGAATCCTCTCCCGTCTTTTCGTTTCTTTCCCTAATTTCCATATGCCATACATTCCTTTTCCATTCCATTATCTCATTTAAAATCTATTCTATCCAAACTAGATTGTTCTTATAATTAACCTTAGCATATTGTTCCTGCTATTACTTAATTAATATATAGATGTCAAAATTCATTGATCAAGTTATTAAATGATTCAATAATAATCTCTATGATCTTTTCCTTCAGTACTGTTACCATCATATATCTATAGTAAAAACACCATCTTATTCAACTTTTGATATTCTCAAATTTTTCTAAACACCAATCGATTTTTCCCAGGGAAAAAAGAAAAGAACCAAGGAGCTAACAAAAAAATAAAATAAAATAAATTACGGCATCTAAAAGAAGTTGGAAAATCATAAAAATTAAGAACCAAGGAATGGGATTTCCGTGAGCATGTTTTCGTCCAGATACAAAGTTTGCAAGTTGTCCAATCTAATTTCGCCAAATAGCCCTGCTCCAATAATAGCAAAATTATCATCAGTTACTCTTAATGTTATTGCTGGTAAATTTAACGAAGTACAAGTTTGAACTGAGATGAATAAAGAGAAGAATCACATAGGAGAGGGTCTATTTCAAATTCAGTTTTCTGACTTGACGATATATCAGCAGGGTTTGAGAAACTTAAAAATAAAAGATCTAGTTTGCGTGATATATTGTGTGTGTCTTTGTTCTAAATATATATATGTGTTCGCGCGCGCGTGAATAACAAATGAATCAGGAAATATAGTCGGAGAGTGGAGATCACAGAGAGAGAGAGAGAGAGAGAGAGAGAGAGAGAGAGAGAGAGAGAGAGAGAGAGAGAGACCTGACAAGTAATTTCCAGACAAATCCAAATCTCTGAGTTTATGGAAAGGGAGAAAGTAAGAAACATTCAAAGACCACTTGATGTGTTCCAACTCTTGACCTCTTGTATGATTCAGAAGAAGGCTTATCACTCTCTGAGTGTTGTCACAGCTGATTCCCTCCCAGCTACAACAATCAGAACTGGTAAGGTTATTCCAATAAGGAAGAGACGAGCCATTTGGATGATTGAAAGATTCTTTCAGTTTGAGAAGAGCTTCTCTCTCTTCTTCCGAACACGCCTTACTTCCCCCTTTGAACCCTAAAAATGTAACAATCGCCACCACCCACCACACTTGTTCTCGTACTGAACGTCCCATTCTTCAATCTCTCACAACTTCTTCAATTTCTCACTCTCATTCAATATAGCCTTTTAGGATTAAGATTATGGGTGTTCATGAGATCACGAAAGCCCTATCCCATGTCCCGTCTTGAAAAAAGAATGGAACCACGAACACCCCTAATTATGCTCCACATCTGTAATGGTCCCCTTGAAATTAAAGAAAGTTGATACGACCAGCATGCACATTGATATTGACTTTTGCTATGACTGAGTCGTTCATATTTTTTATTTTTGGAATGAATAACGTATCACATAAATCTCAAAAGAATATCTACACAAGATTACAAAAACTAGTTTAAGATAGTGGATGATCAAAGACCCAACAGCATCCATATTATTCAGCCCTAAACTAATTAATGAGGTTGCTAAGCATTTTATCGCGATCTTTTGTGAGTCTTTCATAAATTTGATAATTGGTGTTTTAACTTTTTCTGTTTTTGCTGCAAAATTTCTGCGCGTAAAATGTACAGGTATCTTCTATTAATTATAAAAGAAGTACATTTTTTTATAAAAAAAAATAAAATAAAAGCAGTACATTGATTATTTGCTTGGTCCTGAGAAAACACGCATTGCCCTAACCAATGGATTGCCTTTGCGTGTGGGGCAAAGCACGGGACAAGACAAAAGTCAAGTGGGTCTGCGACGAAGTGATACGAGGTTTTAGAGTATTAAAAGGGTGGGGTATTAGTCTCGCCAAACATGATGTGAAAGACTAAGAGTCTGGTGGAAAAGTCAAAGTGACATGTTTGCAAAATTACTGTTTGAGTGAGGTGTTGGAAGCAGCTATGAAAATTTGGTCCCGATCATGTCCAGAGACATTGTTTTTAAGAATTATTCTGCCACAAAAGTCACATCCAAAGATATATGTATAGTGTTGTAGGATGTATTATTATTTCAACAAAATCATGATTTTCAATTCCACTTTTCAGTTATGCTTAAAATTAATCTTATTAAACAATTTTATGAATCAATTATATCAATTTTTTATAATTAACTTTTTTAATGTATATCCAAATGGGTCAGGTTTCGGGCACTGATACCCTACGTTAGGTGATTAGAACACAAACAATAGATATGTTACTCGCTCTCTTATTCAGGTGTAGTCAAGCATACGGTAGAGAATTATGCCTAGTCTTGTTTGGGAAGCCAAGGAATGGTACGACGTCTCGGGAAAGGAGTGGCACATGAGAGAAATTTTAACATGGATTAGGTGCACTACGATATTCTCTCTAATTAAATTACATTAATTCAATCAAATAAAATATCATGTATTATTATTTTTAATTATTTTAGTTTTTAGAATGAAATAGTTATTTAATCTATTGCATTTTCTCTTTTTACTGTTATTAATGATAGAATCAATTTATATTAATAGTAATCTAAATAATATATTTTATTGGATGGAGTATGAACATGGTATACTTAGTTCATGCAAGAATTTCCTTCGAGAGAGAATGCTCGTTCAATATCTTAGGCATCTGCTGGAAATGAATCATAATTACATCAATTATATATATATATATATATATATGAATTATAAAGATACATATCTTTTAAAAAAAAACCCTATCATTAATGTCTTATATTGAGGGTAATTTTAAAATTTTACAAGAAATAACTAATTTTAATTGAGTTATGTAAAGTTGTTATTAGTTTCTTATAGAAACGACCAATGGGAGTAGTTTTATATTGGGAATCACAAACAAAACAAGAAAGGCCATAAAGATATTTCATACAGTGAGGAGAGAGAGAGTTCTTAGCCACTACTCTATTCATTTCTTTATAGTAAGATCATTGAATTACTCATGGGAGAGAACCCAAACAACGTTGTCTTGAGAAAGGAAGTGACACACAGGAACACTCCCGGGCTTCACTTTTAGCACTTGGAAGGCCAAATGCTTAGGGTTCCACTCTGATGTGTCCATGTGACATAGAGACACTGCTTTCACTTTAGTCCCATCAGCCCCCACCAAAGGTACCATATACGCAATTGTGGTCTCTGTTTTGTGACAATAAAACAAAGCATAGATGTAGTTGACCTTGTGGCACACCACCACTTTTGCCTCTCCTACCTTCTTTGCTCCTTGCGTTATTGTGTACTCTTGCTTCTTTGTCTCCTTCATCATCACCTCTGTAGACAAAGCTTCCACGTTCTTCCCAAGCTTCAAAGTGATAAAATCAACCATGGATTCCAACGACGTCGCACAGTACTTCTCCTCTCCTTTAACCCCTGGCTTCTCACACAATTCAATAGTTTCCTTCAAAAACTTGGCTTCTGTTGACCCAGGCTTCACAGCAAATTCTTTCAATATCTGAGCCATCTGCTACAAATGAATCATATAATTACGTCAATAACATGTGTGATAATCAAAGAATAATGAATCTTACGTAGCCAATAGCCTTGTAGCCTAGCGGCATGTGTAAGCTCTCTTGTAAATATCACGGATAGTAGAGACAGCAGGACTAAATAGCATGAATCCTACGTACGGTACCTTGCTTGAAGAAAAGGGAACAGATTTCACAACTTCACGAGGAAGCAAGGAGGACTGGTTGGAGGTCTGCATGAAGTGAAAGTTCATTTTGTGACCAGGCTTCATGTCCTCTTCCAAGAAGAAGAGAGTTGTGTTTGGGATATTATGGAGTTCTTTGTCGGAGTTAGCAGCATAAATGAAAGTTGCCCGGTGAAGAGTACTGTTACCTCTAACATGGATGCTTGTGTTATCCCCTGGCTTACCAACAATAACTTAAAGCACTTGTTAAAGGAACGTAATGAAACTTACAAAGTTCATCCTACATACAAATCATGAATAACTAAGTCCCAAATATACATATACATATATATATATATATATATACATATGTATATATATATATAACACTAACCTGCTGAGTGGAGGAGTTCTGTGATGAATTTAGGCATGGAAGTGGCGGGAAGCATGGACTTCCAGTAAAGTTCAGGAGGTAAAGCAGCACGTGTTGCCACCAATGCAACCTGAAATTAATGCATTTGTAACAGATCAATATGTAGTGAAATTAGTTTAGTATATAGGACCCAAAAAGATGACAACAGGAAAGGTTATTAAGAAATAATACAACGATGAGTAGGAGTAAAAACTTCATTATTGGAGAAATTGCAAATGATATGGATTGATGATAATGAAAAGGAACCAAGAGGAAGTTTATAAAGAGGGAAAGGAAAATGCTCTTCAGATGGCTCAAGTCCTGGATGTCAATATAGCCCATGTTCATAAATATCCTGACGATTTGGATCGCATGGATCATATATGAATGGTCTACAATTTTGAAAATAGAAATATTATTTGAATAATAACATTTAAATCATTCATCAGCTAGATAGTCCCCCAGGATCAACGTATATATGCATTTTTTTGTTTATGAAAACATGAAATCAATATTTTATGATGAATAAGAATAGGCAAAACTATTTATACAGAGCATTTAAAGAATACAAGAGTTGTATCAAATAACAAAAGAGTTTACTAGTATATCATAAAATAATATTTATTAATTATTAATTTTTATTTTCATATTGAATGTTGGTTAAAATTCATTCATACATGCATTAAAAAATTTAAAAGAAATCCCTAAATTATAAATAATGTGAGTAATCTTTTGAATTTACTGGGAATGACATCAACAATAGATCATAAAATGGTTCTTTTCAAATTTCAATAAACTTTTTTCAAATAAAATTTTTCACTGCAATTTCTTCGCAACTACTTATGATAGGTTTCAGCCACGACAAGAGAGAGGATGATGACAAGTGACTTATATTGTGGGTCACCCTTTGGGCCCCACCATGAGTCCGTGATGAAATACTTGGACTCCATGGTGCGATTCCGAAGTTTGTGAACCATCTTATATAGTATTCTTAGTAAAAGTCGATTAAGACCCAAAAGGGAAAAAGAATTACATTATTACTTCAAGGGGTTGAAGTGAGGGAAAATCACACTAAGGATCTTCAAAACACAAAAAATAGTAGTTTAGATTCGTTAGATTCTAATAATGCACTGCAGGTTGAAGATTCTTGTTGCAATTTTTGTTGGAAGCAAAAGTACAATTTTGCTGCTCTCAAAACAAATGAAGCATGATCTAATCTTCTCCCTCCTCTCCTCTTCGTCTTCCTCTCTCTTTCTTCTCTCTTTGATCTTCCTCTTTATCTTCCTCTTCCTCCTCACAACATTGCATTACACTTCCCCAATTCTTCCATTCCCTCCTTCGTATTCTCAATCCATTTGTCCTTCTTGTAGTGAGCCAACATAAAAGAGCTATGTTCTATACATCTTAATCTCGTTGCCTTTACTTTCATCCCCAAACAACTTTTGTAGATCACTCTTCATAAATCAATAGCCATTGTTTTCGAGATGAGTATCGGTAAGCTCCTTAGTATCAAACCTCTAAGAACTCAAGTTTCTCTATAAGTTTTATTTTGGATCTATTCACCTTTCATTTAGATAAATGTTTTTGGCGTTTTTGGGATTTAGGGAACTGTTACAAAAGCTTCAAAAATCAAAACTATCCATTATGAGTTGTGAATATCTGAATTCAGAAATTATGGGTATAGACTTTGAATTGTGAATTACTGAACCTATGCTTAAGAATATTTGGATGTTAAGTTGTAAATTTGTGAACTTATAGAATGTCAACTCTGAACCTTTGCTTATCAAGATATGAACTTTTACCTGTACATATTTGAACCTATATTTATAAATATTAAGACTTTTACTTGTATATTTTTAAACTTTGCTTATTTGTACAAGAATATAGAATTGTTCAGGTGTGGCATTTTGTATTAGCCAATGGAGCATCCCAATTACATCAAAGCTCAAAGTGCCCTTGCACTCACAGTAAGAACCAAAGAATAATAAAATAATAAGGAGGATTGCTTCTACATCTCACTATGTAGTAGCATTTGTCAAACTTTAGCAGCTAATCTTTTGATAGTTAAAAATTGGATTATGTATTGTGAAAACATGAATATTATCTTGTTAATGTTGGATATTCAATTGTAAATTATTTAGATATGATGTATATATTCGTAAGAATTCAATGAAAA